TTCTCCTGATACCAAATTCCGAAAACTGGACCCTGATACCGAAAATCCAACGTGCCACCTCCTCTTGTATCATGTTCTCCTGATACCAAATTCCAAATTCCGAACCCTGATACCGAAAATCCTTCGTGCCACCTCCTCTCATATCATATTCTCCTGATACCAAATTCCGAAAACTGGACCCTGATACCGAAAATCCATCGTGCCACCTCCTCTTATATCATTCTCGTGATACCAAATTCCGAAATGCGAAAAACCATGTAACTAAATCTTAGAATAATTAGCACGAAATATTAAAAGGCCCGGCACAAAGTCTTAAAAAACCATGAACGAAATACTAAGAAAGGTGGGACGAAATATTAAAAAAACCTGCAAGATATATTAAAAGACTCGGCTCGAAATATTAAAAAATCGGCCACGAAATATTTGTTCATTTATTTAGTATGAAATATTTCAATATAATGTATATGATTTGTATAAAATTCAATACATTTTGGTAATTGAATTATTTTAATAAAATTTAATTTTGAGATTTTTTTATTGGAATATTCAAGCACTCACATGGAATGGAAGTTGTAATTACAATGTATAGTAATACTCAATTATTATAGTAAACACTAATAATTATAGTAAATGTATTTATACAGTAAAGTACTTTCTCTACATAGCCATTTTCCCCCAAAAAATCTACCATATTTCATTCCACAAGAAACCTTTGAAGTTGTCAACATCACTTGCATGATCTCATTTTTTTACGCAACCGTCATACACCTAATGTCACATTGATAAATGTGCTTCTGACAGCGCTATTAATAAATGTTTAAATGATCGAATAGCGTAAATAAGAGTGAAAATGGCGGATAAAAAAGATGGGGATAAAACGGAGGAGGACAAACGTTTAGAATTCATATACGACTACCTCGCATATTCAAGGAAAATAAAAGCAGACAAATGGATGAAGATGTTGTCGAACTCGGACTTTAAGGTAGATAAATTTTTCTGTACATTAACTTCTAGAAATCGTAATGAAAGTAGACGATATTAAATTAAAACGATTAAAACGATATTTTGCTCGAAACTAATTCATCTCTTCGTTGCTTGTTTGAAAGTTTTATCAAAACGAAAGGTCAGAACGTTCGCGTAATCTGTCGGGAAATGTCAGATGGTTGAAATTAGGTGAACTGGGATCTTAGCTTTTCCGGGTTAATTTGCCAGAATGATCACGTCACGTAAATTTGGTTTATGTAACTTCACAAGTGTCACATAAAACACTACGATCGAACGAGGATATTTATAGAATGTTAAATACACGTTGAATGTTAGATGATAACGAATTTTATATTCCATATGACATTAATAAAATAACAATTTTATTTGTAATAAATAAATGTACGCTTTCCAGAAATAGTCGGTAAGAATCGCAACTATCTTTGGTATGATTGTAACAGGGAAAGTAGACTTTCTATGATTTGAGTATTCTTTATTTATTTATTTATTTTTATATATTTTATTTTTGTACAAAAACACGTTGATTAATATTCAGTGGAAAAAGTAGAAAGAAATTGGTAATGTTATAAACAAAAATTATTGGGTTAAATATTGTACATGTTGAGAAATTCTCAATTCTAAATTCTTTTTTTTTCAAGTTTTTACATTTATCAATATCCAATTACAAATTTCTAAACTATCAATTTTTAAATTTTCAAATATACTTATACAATAATATATACTTATATGTTATTATAATATATAATTATAATATATGCTTATTATTATACTCATACTTATAATGTATAATCATAATGTGTATTTATTATTGTACTTATGATACATAAAAATAATACATACTTATACAAAAGTATATAAATATACTTTCCAAATATTCTTACAAAATACGTTTATTATTATACTCATACTTATAATACATAATTATAATGTCTACTTATTATTGTACTTATAATATATAAAAATAATACATACTTATACAAAAATATATAAATATACTTTTCAAATATTCTTACAAAATACGTTTATTATTATACTCATACTTATAATACATAATTATAATGTCTACTTATTATTATACTTATAATACATCAAAATAATACATACTTATACAAAAGTATATAAATATACTTTCCAAATATTCTTACAAGCTTATAAATCTATATATCCACGCTAAACACCGTACGTCATAAATTCAACTTTTTTACTTCACCCTTCAAAAGGATTTCTTCCCCATACCATATCCAAAGAATAAAAAAAATTTTCTTTTGATCTACTGTACACGTAAAAGTATTTCGCAAACCATAATATTTTTGCACGTTGCTGTACCACTTTAAGCGACACTACGTAATTACAACGTTGATTCGAAAGAATATCTTTGACCAGTATATTCTTTCAGCGTTTAATTACTTTCTCGAGGTACACGAGTCGTTACGAGATACTGTTCGAAAGGAGTACCGACCCTCCATTTAGCAAAACGTTTTTTTTAAACAGATTCTAAAGCGAAAGGTCACAAAAAATCGAGTCCCGAATTTTCGTCCGCTTTGTGCGAAATAACTTGTAAATTCGACTTTCACATTTAAGGGGATAATTAACAAGTTCTTCGGCACGCCGTCGGAGATGATCCTCACGTTGCAGATGACGCCGGGTGGCCTTCTGGTTCCGGGGCTAGAGATTATACGAACAACGAAGAAGCTCACGTATTTCATCAAGAGGAAATCTGAAAAGATTACGGAGAATAATTTTAGGCAAATTTTGATACCCGGGGATATGGCGCCGAATCCTATAGAGGAATTGGCGGTGCTTGTGGAAGATGTTAGTTATTATTAATATTAGTTAATGTTAGCGAAAACTTTTTATGGTATAGTTATCTTTAACCTTCATCGGGTAGAATGATTTCGTGCTGCAAACGAACATCGTTTCGTTATGAAATCGTATCATTTTGCAACAGAAGTGTGTCATTATGTGTAGGTAAAAAGAGTCGATGTATCCATTTGTATTGCAGTTTTATTGTGAACTGAATTTTTTTTTGTATTTTTATTGGGGATCTTTACTTGCATTCTTTATTGCAAAATTTGTGTTTTGGTATTACTGTTTTGTTTGATATTTTTATTGTAAAATTTATGCATTTTATATTACCACATTTTAGTGCTTTTATTGCAAAATTAATTTGTATTAATTTGTATATTGGTGTTATAGAATTTATGTATTTGTATTATATTTTTATATTTTTGTTACAAAATTTAGTTATTATATTTGTATTTAACATTGTTACTATGAAATTTAACCATTTATGTTATATTTTTTATTATAAAATTTGTCTTGTTATATGACATTTTCATTAAGAGAATGCATGGTATTCTAACGAGAAAATGCGAGCTATAATGTCAGAAGTCTTTTATTTCTAAAATTTAAAATATAAATTGAAGTGATTATGTATGTGTGTGATACCACACTTCTCTTCAAAGTATGCAAAATAAAACTGTAAAAAGTCATATGTTCTTTATTGTTCTTTTACCTATCTATTTAGATGAAGGTTAAAATCTCAAGATAAAAAAACAGACTATTCTTAAGCAAGATGCTTAAAAAAATCATTCTTTAAAAAATGCAACATTTAACAATTATAAATTCTTAAAATTTCAACATATCAAAGTCTTCAAATTCTAAACTTTCAAAATTCACTTTAGAAAAGTATATTTAGTCATCAACAACTCTCATACTTCAAGATCTACCGTTTAGCAAATTCAAAATTTCGCGCCGCGTCCACATCCATCATGGCGTCACCGTCGCGCGCATTTACGAATCTATCATTTTGACGGACCGCTTAAATAAACTAATCAGCACATAATTTTCATTTACTCTTTGCACTTAGAGACATTTTTATTGACGATATATAATATTAAAACCTTCAATTGAAAAGTTTGATGAATTCTTTTAAAGTTATTATTGCTTTATTATTAATTTAAGCTATTGTCTGTTTCACTATGTTTATACACCACATGTATAGCACTATAGATTCTGTAAAAACAATGACTAATGCCAAATTTATTTTACTTTACTTATAAATTTGTTTTACTAATAAATTATTAACTATTTATTGTAAGTCACCTTTCCAATTTTCCTCAAACTCTCCTAATTTACCAGGCATACGTCCCAATCTTATCAAACCCAAGAAACCACGTAGGTTGGCCGGAAGTGGTACGAAAGGACACAACCAAGCAAGTATACGACCTTCGCAGCCTAATATGGCAGGTAAAAAATTATCCTCGAAATCATAGTAAAAACTGTGCTCCATCATTGACGTGAAAAAAGAAACATTTGAAAAAAAGGTAAAAGGAAAAATAACGGGACAATCGTTGCTGCCGCTTCCCATGGGCATCGAAGAGATTCTGCGCGAGGGATTTGCCTCCCAGCCAGATAGTTTAAAGCTTCAATTAAAAAGCAATATAGAAGAGATCGTGACCAAGTGGTCGAGTCAAATTAATGAAATTCTAAACGTAGAATTCTCCGAGTTTTCCAACGGCGGTGATCAATTACCCGAAGCCGGTAATTTTGGTAGATTAATGAAATTGTCGTCGTCGTCAGGTCGTTCTATGTTTCTGCAGAACTTGATTACTGGAACACGAGATTAAAGAATATGGAGTCGCTCTATCGTCAATTAAAGGATCCGAAGGTTGTGAAGATGGACGAATTTTTGTCGGAGACGGAGAGTCCTTATTCGAAGTACTTCAAGGATTTGATCAAGAATGTAGCTGCGAGTATGTAACATATTAGAATGACCAGAAAGTAATATTTGTAACAAGTTTTTATTTTTAATCAGTAATGTGAGCACCTTTGTTATCGACAACCTTTTGCCATCTACCATGCAAATTTTCAATGCCGGCTCGATAAAAATCAATTGGTTTCCGGGCAAAATAACTGGAGATGGCATTTTGGATATCATCAAAATTTTCAAATTTTTTGTCACTTAGAAAGTGTCGTAGCTATTGAAATAATTGGAAAACCACCTTTGGCATTTGCGAACGTCTAATGCACTTGGATGAATATCGCAAATGTTTTTGGTAGCGACTGTTGCGTTACTACCCTTGTGAAACTCAAAAAGCATACAATGAATATGTACCTCTGGTATTTGGCTGGCTATTTCACATAAAATTGCAAAGGAAAATTTCAGATTTAATTATTTACAAGTAAACGAGTCAATTTAACCTGAAAACTTTGGCTCGACAAAGAACACAATCAGCTGATAAATGACAAATGTTGACATGCACAGAAACGACATTACTTTCTGGTCGTTTTGATATTAATAAGATGGAGAGAAACGAACAGTTTAGGTAAAATTAGGAAATTTTATTGAGGAGTCATTTTAAATTCCAGCCTTGTTGGAGACACGAGATATTTTCCTTTATTTGAAACCTTTGGATGCCAATTTTCAAGAAATTTCCAACGCTGAATTTAAGGAATTAGCCTCGAAGTTCAAGATATTGTTACACTGCGTGTGTCTGGCGTGGGCTAATTCTAAGTATTATCCCTCTGAGAGAATAATTACTTTGCTCAGGGAAGTTTCGAACTTGCTTATTGCACAGGTATGCAAACTTTGTTATTGTTATATACACAGGTGTGCAATTTTCTGATTTTTTGAGGGAAAATGACGATGAAGAAAACGATGATGTGAGAAAAAAAAGAAACTACAATTTGTACAAAATAACAATTTTACAAAATGACAATTTTCAATATTAGACATTTTCGAAGTTTTAAATTTTTATTTTTTAACTTGCCAAGTTCTCAAATTTTCAAATAAAATTTCCATTAGACAAAAAGTTTAACATCCTTTACAGATATCGAAGCACATAAATCCGTCCACATTATTCGAAGGTGATATCGAAGAGAACAAAGTGAAAATAGATGAGGCGATACCTTTTTTGGACTTTTATCAGGACACGTTTCGAATGTTCAAAGACAGGATAGAAACTTATTTTAAATCACCGATCGAACCGGTACCCTGGACATTTCATGAAAAATTAGTGTTGGAACGAGTTCAGAGTTTTCGGGCGAGACTCAGAGAAATCAAGGTTTACTATAATTTTTACGTAAGGGGTTAAATGCAAGAGGGTGCTACTTTAGACAAATGTGTAAAGAAATGATGTAAAAGGTTTAAAGATGATTTTTTGAGAGGAATTATATCATTGAAAATATTGTTATTTTGTTTGAATTTTGGAGACAAAGTAATGGTGTAAATTAAGGTTAAGTGAAGATTAAATGAAGGTTAATGAAGGTTAAACTGAAAGGTGAAAGTAATGGCAGTGACGTAGTTAGATGAGGGTGTCAAAGGGCTCTAACTAGCCCTTAATTAGCTTTGAAAAATTTATTTTCATTAATAGTAAATGTACTAAAGTATAACACATAATTTGAAATTAAAAACGAAAAGTAAAAGAAGATAAAATACAATAGGAAGATAAAATGTAAAACACAATATAAAATGAAGCCAAAGTTCAAGAAAACCTTAACAAATTTTGTAACTTAATTTAAATAGTCAAATTTAAATAACAAAATTTGTACCTAAATTAGTAATTTAAATTACAAAACCATTTTAGAATACTTGACTTATGAATCATTTGACAAGCTCGATATTTTCATTTAAAATATATATGTTAATTCTGAAGGTTTTATTGAAGTCTTATAGACTATAAATAAATGCACACTGAATATGCAATATATCTTTCTACACAATATTCACGATCTGAAAGATGATTTATTCTTTCATCTTTCCAATTTTTCGTAAAATTGCACGTACACGTAACAGGTACGAAAATTATACAAGTTCCGCACGATAAATTATGTACGTCTTGCATATAAATTATAATTATTCATACAGGCAATGACAGTGCAGGCAACAATTTTGTAACGTGGTTATAAATTCAACGTATCTGAACTTCCACAGACGCCGGAATTAATACAAATATAATTTTTCAACACGACAGAAATTATAATACATAGGACAATTAATGTACACAATTGGAACAATCGTAAAAATAGAAATGTAGGATTATAAATTGATGTGAAATATTTAGCGATAGAAACTTGGATCGAAGTCATCTTGCTATTGTATTTTAAGACTTAACAATTAATAATGATTAGAATTCAAGAAGTATTAGAATTAATGAAAACTTCATTTTTTAAGATTTTGTGGTGGAACACCCTTTTGCATTTGATTCAATTTTGTTGACTTATTTGTTAATTTAGTATTGATTTAAGTATTGATTTCGGTCTATAGTTATAGAATATAATAACTGATGTACAATGATTATTTTATTATCATTGCAGATGTTGTTTGATATCGCTCAAGATTATTTAAAATTAGAGAGAATAGAAATAGCTGGCTTAAAAGGGAAATCGTTACGTTCTATGGTGGATGAGATTTACGAAGAGTTTAAGAAATTATATGATCAATTTGGAGAGTTGACCGAATTCGTTTTGATACCGGAGGATCCACAATTTACCGAAGTGTTGGGAACATTTTTGGAGAAAGTAAATTAGCCTTTTATTATAAACAAGGCCGATATTATAGGAAAATAGACTAAGCTTAAAAACAGAAAAATTAAAAAATTTTAAATTGCAAAAATTAAAAAATTTCAAAGTTTAAAATTTCAGACTTAACATTTTTTAAGTTTGAAACTGTGCAGACTTGAAATTTTTTAAGTTTCAAACTGCAAAAATAAAAATTTGTCGAATTCCTACAACCGCAAAATCGTAATTTTGAAACTTCCGAACTCGATAATTATAAAATTCACAAATTTCAAACTTCAAACATTTGAAACTTAAAAATTCTCAAATGTCGAAAATTCGCAAAGTAGGTGTTATGAAATAGCAAATAAAAATTTCATGCTAAATTAAGATAATGATAGATAATTATCAACAAAGGTAGAGCAATTTGATCGACGGCTGGCGAGTCTCTTCGACCAAGCGTTCGCTGATTGTCACGATTTGGAATCGTCTTTCAAATTTATTTGGATGATGGGTTCGATCGCTAACAGGCCAATCATCTTGTCTCAATTATGGCACAATTACGAAGATTTGATGCAGAGAATAGATCAACACTTCAGCGATACTAAGGTAACCAATAATTCACTCTCCAAATCAATTATCGAATCAAATTGATTATTACAAGTCAATTACCACAGTTATGTTTCTGGTGATCAATCATTATTATGTTTAGTGGAATTAATCAGTTATTACACATGTGAAGTGATCGATCAATTATTACATTTACATTTCAGGTGATATTTGACCAAAATTTTACATACGATCAAAGTGCAACACGTGCGTTAGCCAACGAATATTTACCCCCAGTAGCTGCGCGGTTGTGTTCCTTGATGAAACTACGTGAAAGGGTCAATTTTCCAGTTCATGCCCTCAAATTAATCGATCATCCTTTAATTAACGCGAAAATGGAGAACGAACTCAAACCGAAATACGAAGAAATGATGGTAATCCCTAAAACAGCAATTATCTCAATCTACTAGTTTTACAGTAGTTTCACTCGAAACTGTATATCAAGTTAATTCTGATTGTCGAATATTAGGATTTAGACTTTCAGACTCAACCTTGTATTATTACACATCTCAAATTATTTTCATCCATGTGGGTATAGAAATCTATAATATTTCTAATCATATCTCATTTTCACTCTGAAGTACATATAAAATTTCTCTGGACCTAATTTGTCTGGAATATTAGGATTTATACTTTCAGACCCAACTGTGTATTATTACAAATTTCATGAAGACTATGATCTCTGCACTTCGTTACATTTCATCAATTCACACTTGTCACTATTATCAAATAAAATAAAAATAAAAATAAAGTCAGAAAATAAAAATTGATACCCTATGTTGCTCACAAGTATAACATTAATTCTGTTTCTTTTTTCAAGACCATAATCGCAGAGAAAGAGGAAGAAATATTCGAAGCTTGGAAGCAAACGTTGCCAGAAATTTTGGAGACCCATTTAACGAAAACTCTGTTGATTGTTCACGAAGACAGATCACTAGAGTTGAATTTTGCTCCAGAACTGAAGACCTTGTTGAGAGAAATTCGTTATATGTTAATCATGAAGAGGACAGACCTTCCTGAAGAGGCTACGCAGTTCTATGAAAGATCACAGTTCTTTTTCATGAGTACTTATGATCTTAGTTTAATAGCAAACTGGTAAATACAAGTTCAGTTTCTCAAAACTGCATTAAAATTTCTTGAAACGATACTAGAAATCCGATTTAGGTATAATAGAATACGAAGTCAGAGTGCTCCGGTTGAGTTCCAGTTGATTGAGGAGGAAATTGAACATATCGATATGTTAATTGACGAAGGACAAGAGAATTATAATTGGAACTCTGAAGGTATGAAAGAGTATAGTTGATTCGAGGAAATTAATTGTAGCTGATTCCTAAATTTCTAAATTATTAAATCTATAAACTGAAAACTTGAGATCCCAGAAACTAGAAATACTAATAGCAATATATTATCGGTTCTGCGAATATGATATTTTCGTTCATTTCCTACGATTAATCATGCAAATAAGTAATTGACTAAACTTTCTTATTGTAAAGGATTCTATGTAATATTAAAAAAACCTTACAGTAATATTTTTACGAAGAGACTCCTTTAACAGCGCGTCAAACGTTTTCGCGTCTTCATGAGTGACTAATTTATCAGAATACACCCTCGATGCTTCATGAACATACAATCTTATCAAATGATTTGGAGTTGGTACAATCTCTCCGTTAGCGAACAAAATACCCTAAACACATTAATATAACCATTTATAACTATTTCATACTTTCTCGTTTTCTTATTAGTTAGTCTATAATTACTAACAAACATATATAAAAAGAAAATTTCTTAATTCTAGACCAATTACAATAGACTCGGCGACTCGTAGCTAAAATTAGTGAGGGTGAATTTATTCAGGAAAAGAAAGAATTAAAAAAAAGGACTCATTATATTATATGTTATAGATAATGTCAAGTGCAAATAAGTGCTGCACAGCCTTTAGAATTAAAATGATCATCATTAATCTCTTAGGCGCGCCGCTATAGTGGCTTTCGCGGATACCATCTCTGTACGACGGTCCACTATAGTGGCTTTCGCGAATGTCGTAGATTACATAGCGCCACTATAGTGGCTCACTCAACTAGCTCACTCGCTCACCGTTTCAATTGAACGATCCTTTGCATATGTTTTGATTCGCATTTTTTTGCCTTCACCACGTTTTATAAGAGTATTAACAAGTTCCACAAAAGTACATTACATGTAAATAAAAGGTAACGCCAAGTTTAGGCACCATGGGAGCACCTCTTTGCACTAATACACGATATTGTAACATTTGGAAATTACATACTTTGTGAATTTTCGAAAAAAGTAAATTATCAAAGTTAAAGTATATTGTATCTTTGAGAAGAATAATTTAATCATCAAAAACTTCTTCCAATGTACTCGCTTTGAGAACAGCATTGTCACACATTGCTGTTTGTAATTCTGTTTCAGAGGTTCCCGAATACATCGCGAATTTATTAAAGATCACTCGAAAATTGCATGCCAGAGTGTTTCGAGCGCAAGAAAATTTGAAGACCATCATGGATCGACTGTATTCTTGGGCAATGATGCCAGTTATTTATCGCAAAGATGCCAGAGACGAAAATTTACTAGCAATCGCAGATAAAGACGACAGGTTTAAAGAGAGGTACGAGGAGATCGAAGCGACCGCCATAGAGCTCGATCGAGTCTTGAAAGAAAATTATAAATTATTTTTCGATTTGCTTCCGGAAGATGCTTACGACGACGAGTCGGAGCTTACCGATGGTAATAATTGTTAGGAAAAATATTTTGGCAGGAGTTGTCAAAAGGTGATTAATGTAATATTTATAGAGGATGAGGAGAAAGAGGGAGAAGAAGGAGATGAGCCTAAAGAAGGGGCGGAAGAGGAACCCCCGAGGTGACGTAAAAAGATAGTTTTTGTGTATGTTTTATACAGAGTTTGAGCATTTGAGAATTTTAGAATGAAGAGTTTTAAAATTTTGGAAACTTGAGAATCTAGAAAATTTGACAATTTAATAATTTGATAATGTTGCAATTTAACAATTTGATAATTTGATAATTTAACAATTTAACAATTTAACAATTTAACAATTTGACAATTTAGCAGTTTGACAATTTAACAATTTAACAATTTAACAATTTAACAATTTAACAATTTAACAATTTAACAATTTAACAATTTAACAATTTAACAATTTAACAATTTAACAATTTAACAATTTAACAATTTAACAATTTAACAATTTAACAATTTAACAATTTAACAATTTAACAATTTAACAATTTAACAATTTAACAATTTAACAATTTAACAATTTAACAATTTAACAATTTAACAATTTAACAATTTAACAATTTAACAATTTAACAATTTAACAATTTAACAATTTAACAATTTAACAATTTAACAATTTAACAATTTAACAATTTAACAATTTAACAATTTAACAATTTAACAATTTAACAATTTAACAATTTAACAATTTAACAATTTAACAATTTAACAATTTAACAATTTAACAATTTAACAATTTAACAATTTAACAATTTAACAATTTAACAATTTAACAATTTAACAATTTAACAATTTAACAATTTAACAATTTAACAATTTAACAATTTAACAATTTAACAATTTAACAATTTAACAATTTAACAATTTAACAATTTAACAATTTAACAATTTAACAATTTAACAATTTAACAATTTAACAATTTAACAATTTAACAATTTAACAATCTAAGATTTTGACAATTTAAAAACATACAAATTTGAGTATTTGAGAATTTGAGAATTTGCGAATTTGCGAATTTGAGAATTTGAGTATTGAAAAATGAATAGAGTGGAAGAGGAAGTAATCGAAGCAGCCTTGCACGAAGAAGAAATCGGAGAAGAAGAGGAAATTGAAGAAGGAGACGAAGAAACTTTGGCTCTCCGACGAGAAAAATGGCAGCCTTATCTGGTTTACGTGGACGATTTAATTTCCAAAGGTCTTATCCAAGCAGTTTCTACGAGGTTGACATTCATAATCAAATGCTAATTCACTCTATGGAACTTTAGTAACATTTCCCAGTAATTTATCATAACTTTTGCAGTATCTGTTATATCCTAGACGAAACTGATCCTGAAGGTAACATATACCCCTCGTTCGAAATACAACTATGTTTAGAGGCAAGTATCAAATTTGATCCATGTTGCAATCAACTAAAATCAACTTCTACAAGACTAAAATATTATCGATCAAACTAATCAATTTTTTTACTATAATTTCGTCTGGTTTCGACAAAAATTAAATTAAAAAGAAGAGGTTTATAATATACACGAATAATACTCTTTCAATTTAAATAAATATTTGAAAATAATATTCACTTTATGATGGACAATAAACTGTCCTCTGCACGCTATTATAATTTTACAATTATATAATTACATATTACAGTACGTATAATTATATACTATATAATTACAAAGTTAAATTGATTATTCAATTTTTGTATTATTAATTTCATTCTTAATAACATTTTATTACTTAATATGTCGTAAGGATCCGAACATTGGTTTTCGACCATCGGTGATCGTAGACGACCCAGAAGGATTTTACACCTTCGTGGAATCCATTTTGCTTGACGCCATGAAGATGGGTACCCTTATGCCTCGGGTTAATCCCGAATTAATAGAAGAACAAGAACATTACGCGGTATACCATCTTATCGTGCGACTTAAGGATGAAGTCTAGTGACAAAAACATTGGAGAATTTGAGAATCTTTAAATTAAGAGTTTCAGGAGAGTAGAGATACGAAAATTTAGGGATTGGGGAACTTGGGAATTGGGGAATTTTGAAATTGGGGGATTTAGGAATTGAGAAATTTAGGAATTGGGGAATTTTGAAATTGGAGGATTTAGGAATTGGGGAATTTAGGAATTGAGAAATTTAGGAATTGGGGGATTTAGGAATTGGGGAATTTAGGAATTGGGGAATTTAGGAATTGGGGAATTTAGGAATTGGGGAATTCTGAAATTGGGGGATTTAGGAATTGGGGAATTTAGGAATTGAGAAATTTAGGAATTGGGGGATTTAGGAATTGGGGAATTTAGGAATTGAGAAATTTAGGAATTGGGGGATTTAGGAATTGGGGAATTTAGGAATTGAGAAATTTAGGAATTGGGGGATTTAGGAATTGGGGAATTTAGGAATTGAGAAATTTAGGAATTGGGGGATTTAGGAATTGGGGAATTTAGGAATTGAGAAATTTAGGAATTGGGGGATTTAGGAATTGGGGAATTTAGGAATTGAGAAATTTAGGAATTGGGGGATTTAGGAATTGGGGAATTTAGGAATTGAGAAATTTAGGAATTGGGAAATTTAGGAATTGGGAAATTTTGAAATTGAGAAATTTAGGAATTGGGAAATTTAGGAATTGGGGAATTTTGAAATTGGGGGATTTAGGAATTTGGGAATTTTGGAATTGGGAATTTAGGAATTGAGAAATTTAGGAATTGGGAAATTTAGAAATTGGGGAATTTTGAAATTGAGGGATTTAGGAATTGGGGAATTTAGGAATTGAGAGATTTAGCAATTGGGAAACTTTGAAATTGGGGGATTTAGAAATTAGGGAATTTAGAATTTTGGGGGCTTAGAAATTTGATAATTTAAAAATTAGAGAATTTGAATATTTCAAAATTTACAGTTTTAAGAATGTAGAAATTTGGAAATTTAGAGATTTGGAAAATTAAGAATTTGGGAACTAAACTAATCAAAATATAGGACAGTTTTAACTCACTCTATTAGAAAGAGTTAAAAAATATCTCAGAAAAGACTCTACGTCAAAATATATTACATCTCGACTACAAAATCTTAAATTTTACCAGCAAAATAATTAACTACTAACTTAATTATCTTAATTAGTAACTAACTTGCAATTAACTAGTTACATTTTTTGACATTTTTGAAAATCAAACATTTACTATCCTCATCTCTCCTAAAAACAACACAAGATAAAAAATCACCAAAGCTTCTAAACTTCAGCCAAAATCAACTCTGAGTATTTTTGTCACTAGACTTGACCATGAACAAGAAACACATAACTAAATGTACCAATATTTTTGAAGAACGACGTCGCCGAGGAAGAAGGCATCGTGTTCATGTTGGAGGAAATTTGTAACCGGGTCAAATTTGCTCTGACTGTAGCGAGGGACCATGCTGAGGTAACTGTAGCACAGTAGGCTTCTCTAGTACTATTGTGCTAATTGAACTACACTGTAATCTCATTACGTAACTTAATTACACTGCACGTTAATTACATGGTAATTCAATTACGCTGTAAGTTGAATTATATAATTTATTTTCGATCAACTCCATTGCTAATTGCTTTAATCGGGTAATTGAATTAGACTCGTTTCTCCTTGGTTTCGAATAGAAAGTTGAAATTCAAGAGTTTGAGGAGTTGGGTGTATTTATGATTTATGAGGAAAGAAATTCCGGGATTGAGAAATTTTTAAGATTGGAGTTTGGAGAGTTGGAGAGTTGAAGATTGGACGATTTGGGGACTTTGACATTTAGGGATATGGGGATTCCAAAATTTGCAAAAATAGGTATTTGGGGATTTGGAAATTTAGGGTTTTGGGAATTGGGAAAAGTGGAAAATTTGGAATTTGAGAATTCGAGGTTTTGGAAATTTGGGGATTTAAGAATTTGTGGAAAAAGAAATTTGACGATTTGAGAATTTTTGGTTTTGAAAATTTGGGGTTGTGAGAATTTGGAAAAATAGAAATTTGGGGATTTGAGTATTTGGGGTTTTGGAAATTTGGGAATTTAGGAATTTGGGGTTTTAGGAATTTGGGAAAATAGAAATTTGGGATTTTGGAAATTTGGGAATTTAGGAATTTGTGAAAGTAGAAATTTTGGAATTTGAGAATTTGGGGTTTTGAGAGTTTGGGAAAATAGAAATTTAGGGATTTGAGTATTTGGGGTTTTGGAAATTTGGAAATTTAGGAATTTGGGGTTTTGGGAATTTGGGAAAATAGAAATTTGGAATTTTGGAAATTTGGGAATTTAGGAATTTGGGAAAGTAGAAATTGTGGGATTTGATAATTTGTGGTTTTGGAAATTTGCAGAAATAGAAATTTGGAGACTTGGAGTTTTAGAAATTTGAAAATTGGGATTTTTGAAATTGGGAAAATTAGAAATTTGAGGATTTGGGGTTCTGAAAATTTAGAGACGTAGTCTAATAATTCAATAATCCAATTCAGTAATTTTTTACTTCAACAAATGACTTATAGAATTGATAATAATAATTTTCTTGATAATAATAATTTGAATTAATAATTTTCAGAAATACGAGACATTTTCTTGGTTATGGTTGGATGACAGACAAGAGTATTTATCGTACTTCCTCCAGTACTCTCGATACGTAAATCCCGAAGTAAGACAGATTCTAAAAGAACGTCCAGATTATATACCAGAGAATATGAAACCGAAGAAACCAGATTTGTCAGATTTCAAAAGGGAAATCGATTATTTTGTGGATCTGTATAAAAGTGTCGATAACATGCCAAACGAAGAGGTGTTCAGTCGATGGTTAAGACTCGACTTGAAACCGTTTAAGCAAGCTCTTTTGAACACCATCTGTAAATGGTCGAATGTGCTTAAAGAATATCTCGTCAATAAAATCACCAAAGAGTAAGTATACATATGCTTTTGTAGCTTCAGTTTCCTGGAAATTTTAGGAAATTTGGAATTAGGGGGTTTTGGTGTCGAGAGTTTAAGAATTTGGGGAATTTGAGAATTCAGTATTTGTAAATTTGGGGAATTTGGAGAATTTGGTATTTATACATTTGGGGAATTTGGAAATTTCGTATTTGCGAATTTTGGGAATTTTGGGAATCTGAGAGTTGAGGAATTTTCAAATTGGGGGATTTGAGATCTAGAGAATTTTGGGATTTAACAAATGTGGAATCTAGGGAATTTTTGGATCTGAGGAATTTTGGAATTTGGCGAATTTTTGGATCGGGGGAATGTTGGAATCTAGGGAATTTGGAGTCTGTGGCATTTTGGATCTGGAGAATATGAAATCTGGAGAATTTTGGGATTTAACGACTTTGGAATCGAGGGTATTTGGGATTTGGGGACTTTTGGAATCTAGAGAATATTGGGATCTGGGAACTTTGGGATTTAGGGAAATTGGGATCTAGGGAATTTTGAGATTTGCAGAATTTGGAATTTAGGCAATTTTGGGATCTGTGGATTTTTGGAATTTAGGGAATTTTGGGATCTGGGCTATTTGGGATTTGGGGAAATTGGAATCTGGGGAATTTTGGGATTTGGAAAATTTGGAATCTACGCAATTTTGGGATTTGGTGAATTTGCGAATTGGGAAATTTGGGAATTTGGGAACTTGAGAATTGGGAAATTTGGAAATTTGGCACTTTGGAGACTAGAGAATATTGGAGATCTCAAAAATGTAGAAAATTAAGAATTTGGTAATTTGTAAAATTTGAAAATATAGAACCTTAGGGAACTCAAAACTTACGTCTTTACGTATTTATAAATACAGACATCCAAAAATAATGAAGCCTCCATAATTACGAACTCGAACATTAAAAAATTTGTAAACGTAAGAATTTGCACCACAAAAGAAATCTATCATTTAAAAGCTAATAAGAAAAGAGTCAGCATTAAATACCTAAAACGATCAATATCTGAATGAATCTAAAATATCAGTTCCAATATAAATTCAATAAACGTCCGATCATTTTCGTGGAACGATCAGGCGTTCTGCCAGCGTCTTATCCTGCGTCATTAGTATAGCAACGTAGCGAATGATCAATGATCCGTGATGTAAGTGAGGATCATTTAAATAGACAGTAATCGCATACGGTAGTAGCGCGTAGCAAACACCTGGCTAAACGTCAAGTCTGTTATCCAAAATTGTACGTCACATGAAAACACACCCAGCACCGAAATGTTTAATTTTATTGCGATGATTTAGCAAAGAAATCGCGTTCGCCTGTTGATTTATTCGATCAGCTAGCGAACAACGGACGATGGTGGCGTTCTTAGAATTTCCGTTTATAAAGCTCGTTTGTTCGGCTTAATCCGACAGCATTTATGCAACGAGTTTATTTTTACGTTCGGGGCTTGCAACAAAATGTCACCGATAGAATAACGATAACAGAAACTAGAACGTTCCTGTGCTAAGATCACGCCACGATATTTAAATAACATTTCCAGAAATGCTACGGCAAAGTTACTTCCGAGAAAAGTAGTCTGGTGTTATTTTGGTAGATTGGAGAGATAAAATTACGAGTTAATGTCTGGTTTAATAATAGAGGGATTGTATAGGAAGGAACCTTTTGGGTAGTAGTCATAAACGGGATTAAGATTTTTGGTTGAGGTAGGTCGAATTTTTTAATTTTTGGAGGAATTTAAGGATTCGGGGATTTAGGGGTATGAGGATTTAAGGGGATGGGAATTTAGGGAGCTGGGAAATAGGGAGGTGGGGACTTAGGGAGTTGGGAACTTTGGGAGCTGAGAAATTAGAAAGGTGGGAAATGTAGGAGATGGGAAATTTGAGAGTTGAGAATTTAGGGAGTTGAGAAATTAGGGATTTGGGAAATTAGGAAGGTGCGAAATTTAGGAGATGGGAAATTGTGGAGTTGGGAATTTAGGAAGTTGGGAAATTAGGGAGTCGGCAAATTAGAAGGTTGAGAATTTTGGAAGATGGCAAATTAGGGAGTTGAGAAATTAAGAAGTTCGGAATTTGAGAAGTGGAAAAATTAGAAAGTTGGGAAATTATTAAGTTGGGAATTTAAGAAATTGGGAATTCGAGAAGTGGAGAAATTAGTAAGTTGGGAAATTAGGGAGTTGGGAAATTAGAGAGTTTGAAATTTAGGGAGTTGAAAGATTCAGATAATTGGAAATTTAGAGATTTACGAAATTAGGAATCTGGGAATTTAAGAAATTAGGAATTTATGGTGTTGGGAATTTACAGAGTTGGGTACTTAGGGAATTGGAAATTTAAAGAGTTTGATAATGTCATAAGTCTCAAACCGTTCAGAGTTTGAATAATAAATACCTATAAGTCTATAAATCTATAAACTTTTATTATTGAAATTTTTCATATTTCAAACATAAAAAAATATATCCTATTCATTATAGAATTCACTAGGATTTACTACAATTCCCTAGAGGTCATTAGAATTCCCTAAACTTCACTACAATTCACTAGGATTTACTACAATTCCTTAAAGTTCATTAGAATTTCCTAGAGTTCACTACAATTTTCTAGAGTTTACTACAATTCCCTAGAGTTCACTACAATTCCCTAAACTTCACTACAATTCACTAGGATTTACTACAATTCCCTAGAGGTCATTAGAATTCCCTAAACTTCACTACAATTCACTAGGATTTACTACAATTCCCTAGAGTTCATTAGAATTTCCCAGAGTTCACTACAATTCCCTAGAGTTCACTACAATTAACTACAATTCACCACAATTTACTACAGCTCACAAATTAATATTAAACTAATACTGCATAAAAACGAATCGTAATGACACTGTAACCTCAGTGCCTCCTGACGTAACTAGCCAGTTACGTCACTATGTCAAATGCATCACTCTAATATTACATTAATCATTCAGACATAGAAATGTCATGACATAGGCATTCTACAACCGGCGACAAGCGTAGCGTGCCAAAAAAGGGCTTCTCGAAAAGTGACATATATACTCTGTGATATAATTTTATTAACGCCAGTCACGTTTCAACCTCTAACCGCAAATAGAGACGATTTCTCCGAAACTACAATTGAAACGATCGCCGTTGGCACTAATCCTGTTTATTTGCGCAACTAGACGCCAGACGGAGTATTTGCCTCTAAATCTAACCTTCTCCTTTCTAGGAAACTATCATAAGCATTAGGCGTTTCGCGAACACTACAAACAATTCTGAGAAAGCTGAATATGGAGGATTGATATTTAATAAGTTGACATTTGGGAGCTGATGATGCGACGATTTGAGAAAGTGGGAGGTGGGAATATTTGGGGATTGAGGAATTTGGGAAGTTGGGAATTTGAAGTTCAAAAATTTGAAATTTGGAATTTGGAATTTGGAAATTTGGAAGTCGGACATTTTAAAATTCCAAGATATGGAATTTTAAATTTTGGAATTCGGAATTTTTGGAATTCCAAAATTTGAAATTTGGAATTTTTGAATTCGGAAATTTTGGAATTCCAAAATTTGGAATTCGGCCATTTTAGAATTCCAAGATATGGAATTTGAAATTTTGGAATTCCAAAATTTGAAATTTGGAATTTTTGAATTTGGAAATTTTGGAATTCCAAAATTTGGAATTCGGCCATTTTAGAATTCCAAGATATGGAATTTGAAATTTTGGAATTCGGAATTTTTGAAATTCCAAGATTTGGAATTTGGAATTTTAGAATTTGGAAATTTTGGAATTCCAAAATTTGGAATTTGGAGATTTGGAATTCCAAAATTTGGAATTTGGAGTTTTGGAATTCCAAGATTTGGAATTTGGAAATTTTGGAATTCCAAAATTTGGAATTTGGAGATTTGGAATTCCAAAATTTGGAATTTGGAGATTTGGAATTCCAAATTTTGAAATTCGGAACTAAGGAATTTGAAAATTTGGAATTTGGAATTCTGGAATTCAAAAATTTGGTATTCCATAATTTCGGAATTCGGAAATTTCAAATTCAGAATTTTGGAATTCGAAAATTTTAGAATTCAAAAATTTGGAATATGGAATTCTGGAATTCAGAAATTATGAAATTCGAAAATATGAAATTCAGAAATTTAGAATTTAAAAACTTAGAATTCAGAAGTTTGAAATTTGGTATATTTAAGAATTTAAAGATTTGAAAATTAATGAATTTAAAGATGTAATATTGAAATTTGTAATAATATAAATCTGAGAAAAAATTAGTTTCAATAAATCTCAATTTTCCTCCAGATTACGTGACCTCTCAGAATTCATACAAGCAGCAATGAACAACTTCGCGCAGCCCATTCAAGAAGACGATTACGAAGCCCTCTTAGAAACAATTTACTTCTTAAAAGAAGTGAGAGATCGTCAATTCGAGATCGAAGACATGTTCGAGCCTATCAAGGTTTTAAATTCTCAAAAATGTCAAACTACTTATAATAAAACTTTCCTCTCTATTTTCTTAGAAAACGATTGAAATGCTGGAAGAGTATCAAGTGTTTATTGAAGACAAAATTTTTGAATGGCTCTCGGAATTACCTCAGTCTTGGGAATCGTTGAAGAAGATAGCTGCTCAAGTGAAGCAAGTCGTTCAACCTTTAATGACCCGTCAAATCGATCTGTTGAAGAAGAGGCTAAGTTATTACAACTTCAAGCAACTGCGTTTCTCCCTCGAATTTCATAGAGAGGATGTTTTCAGGTAAAATACGTAACTTTAATCGAACCCTCTTTGTGATAGTTTCCTAAGTTCGATAGAGTATAACGGAGCATTATTCGTAGCCCCGATTGCCCCGATCCGTACGAGAAACTGAATAAATTACACGAGGAGCTTTTAAAGTTCCAAGCGGAGGAGCAAGACTTGTACAATCAAACGGTGATCTTCGAACAGGAAATGCCGGAGTTTAAGGTGATTAAACAGATAAAGAAGGAGATGCAGCTTTTAAAAACTGTGTGGGATTACGTGAACGTGATCGGAACTAGTTTAAATGAGTGGAAGAAGACCACGTGGAAGAAGCTCGATATTGAATGGATGGATCAAGAATGCAAGAAACTTGTCAGAGAACTCAGACGTAAGATATATCCACCTTTCAATTACATCGACGATATTGTGTACGTGACTTGATTTTCGAGACTGCGGCGAGAAATATTTATGTGGATTGCATTTAGAAGGGATGATGCTTGTGAATTTGAACTGAGCATTTTTCACGTTTGGAAATTTAGGTGTCTTTTTATCAGTTTTCAAATTTCAATTCTGGATATTCATTTTTCAATTTCCCAATTTTTCTATCATTCAATTGTTCAATTTTTCAATTTCTCAATTTCCCAATTTCCCAATTTCCCAATTTCTCAATTTCCCAATTTCTCAATTTTCCCATTCCTCAATTTCCTATTTTCTCAATTTCCCTATTTCTCAATTTCCCAATTCCTCACTTTCCCAATTTCCCAATTTCCCAACATCCCAATTTCCCACTTTCTCAATTTTCCCATTCCTTAATTTCCTAATTTCTCAATTTCCCAATTTCCAAATTTCTCAATTTCCTAATTTCTCAATTTCCCAATTTCCTATTTTCCCAATTTCTCAATTTCCCAATTTCCCAATTTCCCAATTTCCCAATTCTTCAATTTCTTAATTTTCAGCTTGTAACATTCAATTCACCGATTGTTTAATTTTCAACATTCAATTCGCAATATTTAATTTTTCAGTTCTTCAATTCTTCAACCTTCCTATATGCACATTTGTACATTTTCACATTCTCCAATTTCTCATTCCTAAATTTCACGCATATATTAAGATAGTACTCATTTACCAAGATAAAGTGCCTTAAACATTTCTCTCCTTTCCAGAGCTCGATAAAGACGTACGTTCGTGGGAATTATACGGTAGCGTTGAAGCACAAGTGAGAAACATGATGGCATCGTTAAGAGCAGTCTCCGAACTACAAAACCCCGCAATCAGAGACAGACATTGGAGAGAATTGATGGCCGAAACGAAAGTAATTAATTATTTGCTTGAACTTGGTTTCACCGGTTTCAAGGAAATTGTTGCTAAATTACGTTTACGATCTCGTTAATTACACATAATTGTATCTACACCTCTGTTAAGGTTTATGGGGCCCTAAGCAGATATTAATTTCTTTCATGTTATTAGAATGCTGTTATTAAATTGATGAATACAGTTCACTCTCGTTATATTGCATATGTGGTTGTAGAACTTGGCAATATAGGGAGAGGTAACTTTGATACAACGATTTGAAGATTGCAAAGTTATTTATTTATAAATTTCTAATGCAAATTTGTATTTTTGAAAATTCGTGAATTCTTAAATTTGTGGAACTTGTGAGTTTGAAGGTTTTTAAATTTGAAAGTTTGAATATTTTAAAATCTCTAAATTTCTAAATTTTTAAAATTTGGCAATTTTTTAATTTATGAAATTTTCAATTCTTCCATTTTTCCATTTTTTCATTTTTCAATTATGCAATTTTCACTTCTTCAATTGTGTAATTTCTCCATTTTTCAATGGTTCAATTCTTTAATTATTCAATTATTCAATTTTCTAAATTTGAGAATTACCAAATTTTTAGATCTGCAAGTTTGTAAAATTAGAAATTATAAAATTCTTAACTTCGTAAAATTAAATACTGGAAAATGTATAAACATAAAAATGAAAAGAAGAAAAGATTTGAAGGTTCAAGCACAGGTTCCCATTTGTCTAATGACGGTACTGTGTGCAGAACACTGTGAGATTCGCACGTACGCTAAATCTAAGCTGGATCTCGTTTTAATTAACTGGACTAAGTCCCTGTTAGACCTTGATTTTAATTGCAAACATTACAACACGGTGAAAGCTGTGTAACGTTTAATTCGGAACGTTCTGTAAACTTCTCGAACGTTTCGTTAATGTTTAATGCTTGTTATAATAGGTAGCGTTTAGCATGACGGACAGTACTACTTTGGAAGATTTATTGAAATTGGAGTTGCACAAATACGAGGAAGAGGTTAAAAACATTGTTGCTAAATCCGTCAAAGAAATGGCAATGGAGAAAGTGTTGAAAGAGCTTCATGATACTTGGAGCTCTCTCGAATTCGGTAAAGAGTTACACGAACGTACGAAATTGAACGTTCTTAAGATCGATGACGAAACTATAGAAACCCTCGAAGACAATCAGGTAAAGTTTCTTCGTGTTTGATTATTTCGTTAACGCTTTCTGTGTAAATTGTAGTGATAGTACATTAAGACGATCTTGGAAACTTTGGAGAATTTGGGGACTTTTGGGAATTTTGGGATTACTAGGAATTTTTGAAATTTGCGGAATTTTTGAAATACTAGGAGTTTGCAGAATTTTGGGAATTTTGGTAAGACTAGCAATTTTTGTGAATTTTGGAAATACTAGGAATTTGGGAAATTTTGGGAATGCTAGAAATTTAGGAAATTTTGGGAACGCTAGAAATTTGAGGAATTTTGGCAATACTAGGAATTTTGAAAATTTTTGGAATACTAGGAATTTTGAAAATTTTGGGAATATTAGGAATTTTGGAAATTTTAGGAATATTAGGACTTGTGAAAATTTCAAGAATCTTTTAAATATTATGGATAATAGATATTTATGGAATTTAGAGAATTTAGGGAATTTTGACAATCTTGAAATTTTTGAAATTCTTGGAACTCTGAATTCTTGGAATTATTCGAGTTCTGTGAATTCTTGGAATTATTGGAATTCTGTGAATTATTGAAATTCTGTGAATTCTTGGAGTTCTTTGAATTCTTGAAAGTCTTGGAATTCTTGGAACTCTTGGAATTCTTAAAATTCTTGAGATTTTAAAAAATTTAGAAATTCAGAAATTCAGAAATTCAGAAATTCAGAAATTCAGTAATTCGAAAACCAAAGAATTCAGTAATTTAAAAATTACAAAATATAACAATTGTCGAAATTGATAATTTAATAATTTATCAATTGCAAAATTCGATAATTTAACAATGTATCATTTCTGAATTTTAACTTATTCTTCTAAAATTTGAATTATTAAATCCCAAATGTGAAGACATTAGTCCCAAACTACTAACCACGAAAAAAACATAAATTTTAAAATTCGAAATCGCTTCCAACACCAATTTTAAATTACCACCTGCCATCGCACTCACTCTAATTAACCACACTCGCAACAGGTGCAACTACAGAACATGTTGGGTTCAAAATTCGTGGGCTACTTTCTCGAAGAAGTTCTCGATTGGCAGCATAAATTGAGCAACGCTGACGCAGTGATCAACGTATGGTTCGAGGTGCAACGCGCGTGGATCCATCTTGAAAGCATATTCATAGGTTCGGAGGACATCAGGAGTCAACTTCCGGAAGACTCGAAACGTTTCGAAAAAATTGACAAAGATTTCAAAGTACAATTTTCATGGTACAGTTTTCTTAAGTGACTGGTTAAAGAACAATTGTAGGAAAGTTTAACGCGTTTTCAAGGAACTTTTACGAGAAGTGACGAGTAATTTAAACATCATTAAAGCGACGAACCGACCGAAACTTCTGGAGAAGCTCGAGGAGTTGCAGCTTCAGTTAAACGTTTGCGAGAAAGCTTTGGCGGATTACTTGGAAACGAAAAGATTGATTTACCCGAGATTCTATTTCATTTCCTCCACTGATCTTTTGGACATTTTGAGCAATGGTTGCAATTTTATGATTATTTACCCATGGACGTATTTATAGAAGGGCAGAAAAGGACTTCTTTAGACGAACACAAAGAAAATTGTCATTATTAAGAGTTTCATAAATACTTTATGTTTAAATATTTTTGTTCAAACATACTTTTTAAATGAGATGTATTAACAAGATTTATTTACGAGACAGGTAAATGAATTATTTAAAATATGTTCATTTTGTTTGAGTGTATTTTAAACAGAATATATTTGAATATACTTTAAACAAAATATGCTTGAATATACAAGATGGACAAATGAAGAAATACACAAAATATGTTCATTTTTTTTTTAGTGTATTTTAAACAGAATATACTTGAATGTAGTTTAAACGAAATATGCTTGAATATACAAGATGGACAAATGAAGAAATACACAAAATATGTTTATTTTGTTTGAATGTATTTTAGACAAAATATACTTGAATATACTTTAATCGAAATATCCTTGAATAAATATACAAAATAGGCAAATGAATAATTATGCAAAATATATTTATTACATTTGAATATACTTTAAAGTAACTATACTTTAATAAGTATACAAGACAGATAAATGTATAAAGTATATTAATTTTGTTTTAAATATCTGAAAACATATAGAAGTATAGAAAAATAAATACAGTTACCATTATAACTATTATTTATTTTATTTACATAAATTTAAAATACATTTTTATTGTGTTTAATCTGATAAAATTTATTTGAAGTTCTGGTCGTCAAATGTGAAACTTATTTAAAAGTTATTTTCCTCAAATATGAAATTTATCTAAAAATTCATGTCCACAAATATGAAATTAATCTAAAAATTCATGTCCTCAAATATGAAATTAATCTAAAAATTCAGGTCCTCAAATATGAAATTAATCTAAAAATTCATGTCCACAAATATGAAGTTAATCTAAAAGTGCATGTCTTCCCTCCTGCGTCCATGGATATACTTTTTCATAACAAACGAAAACATGGTTTTCGTCAACATAAATCGTGCAAGTCAACACAATAAATTATTTTACAGGAAACAACCCTGAGTTAGTGTGCAAACATTTGGCGAAATTGTACGATTCGCTGGCGAAATTAAAGTGGAAGCTGGATGGCGGGAAACCGACGAAATTCGCGATTATGATGATTGCCAAAGATGGCGAAGAAATGGCTATATACGGAAGTTGCGACTGCAGCGGGAAGGTACTTTCTTTTTAACCCCTTGCCGCGCCATTTAATGCGTCAGTCAAATTTAGGACTATAACATTCAAACGAAGTGGAAATGTGAAGTAAAAGACCGGAATATTACGTGATGGAAGGCGACATACATTTAAAACATGTAATTAAATAAAGTGTATTATTCTTACATTCTATTCGCGTGTTTACACTCAGTAATCTCTTCGGAATCAAGTAATGGTTGCACTACCAAAAGTCAGAAGCTAAGTACTTCACATTTCCTCTTCTGTAAATCGAGTAATATGTTAATAAAAATATCATGTAATATGTATTTTGAATTCGTCTCGATGTCCTCTAAAGCTATGAATAAAAAAAATGTATGTTCCTATTTAAAAAACCCAAGGTGACTTTGACTTTGCCAAAAGAACAAACTGTTTTCAAAATTTGCTTCACTAATATCTATCGTGCACTTCATACCCTGCAAATATTGTTCTAAACTTTTTTTCGTAAGGTGGCTGCAAGTGAGAGAAAAATCATGAGTAGCGTTACAGGTATCTCCTTGTATACGATTTATAACTATTAATTGAAATATTCAAGAAAAATATAAGAAAAATTTCTAATGCTTGCATTGTGAATGCGTCACGTTCACACCAAGGGGTCAAAGCACCATTTGCATCTTTCAGGTAGAAGTATGGCTGAACCACGTGACCGATGCGATGAAAAAATCGGTGAGATATCACGTCTCACAAGCAGTGGCCACTTACGATGAAAAACCGCGAGAACAATGGATTTTCGATCACCAAGCTCAACCTGCGCTGTGCGGCAGTCAAATTTGGTGGACAACCGAAGTGAACATGGCGTTCATGAGACTTGAAGAAGGCTTCGAGAACGCGTTTAAGGATTATCAGAGAAAGCAAATCAATCAACTGAATGCTTTGATAACTATTCTTTGTGGAGATCTGAATGACAGCGATAGAAGGAAAATTATGACGATATGTACGATCGATGTGCACGCCAGGGACGTCGTCGCGAAAATGATTACTATGAAGGCGGAGAACTCTTCTAGTTTTCAGTGGCAATCGCAGCTTAGACATAGGCTAGTATAATTGAATTGTTGGTGGGAAATTATGGAATTTTGAGTTTTTATAAATTGACAAATTGACAAATTTACAAATGTTTAAATTTCTAAATTATGCGACTCGCAAATTCTTCAATTTCCCAAATTTCCAGATTCGCAGATTCTCAGATTCCCAGATCCCAGAATTCCCCAATTTTCAAAATTCCCGATTCCTAAATTCCCCAATTCCTGAATTCCCCAATTCCAAAATTCCCAAATTCCCAAATTCCCAAATTCCTAAATTCCCAAATTCCCAAATTCCCAAATTCCCGATTCCAAAATTCCCCAATTCCTACATTCCCCAATTCCTAAATTCCCCAATTCCTAAATTCCCCAATTCCTAAATTCCCCAATTCCTGAATTCCCCAATTCCAAAATTCCCAAGTTCCTAAATTCCCAAATTCCTAAATTCCCAAATTCCCAAATTCCCCAATTCCAAAATTCCAAAATTCCTAAATTCCCAAATTCCCAAATTCCCAAATTCCCCAATTCCCAAATTCCCAAATTCCCAAATTCCTAAATTCCCAAATTCCCAAATTCCCAAATTCCTAAATTCCCAAATTCCCAAATTCCCAAATTTCCAAAATTCCCAAGTTTCCCAATTCCTAAATTCCAAAATTCCCAAATTCCCAAATTCCCAAATTCTCAAATTCCCAAATTCCCAAATTTCTAAATTCCCAAATGCTCCAAATTTCCACAAAACTCTAAATTACATAGAAATAACTTCAACTCCTTAAATTTCCCAAATTCGTAAATGTGGAAATTTGCAATATTCGGTCTTGGGCCATATATCGAGACTACCGTATAACAAATCAATATGCACAGATGGGACGACAAAGTCGGCGACTGTTACGCGGATATCTGTGACGCTTCGTTCAAGTACGACTACGAATATTTGGGAAACGTACCTCGATTGGTTATAACACCGTTAACCGACAGATGTTATATCACCCTAACGCAATCGTTGCACCTTATAATGGGAGGTGCACCAGCTGGCCCAGCTGGCACTGGGAAAACGGAAACCACCAAGGATCTAGGAAGAGCATTGGGTCAAATGGTTTACGTGTTCAATTGCTCGGAACAAATGGACTATAAGGTAAAATTACTATTTCTGGTAATTGTGATGGACGGGACAATGTCACGTCTAACTGTACTCATTGTTATTTTATTTGTACAGATCAAAAGATAGGTACGAAAGTAGAACTTCTTTCAAGGAAAGTTATTATACAATTTTATAAGTAATAGCTTTATTAGTGTTAACCGTACTCATTGTTATTTTATTTGTAAAGATAGAACATAGATATGATAGTAGAACTTCTTTCAGGGAAAGTTGCTTTCAAAGCAAATTATTTTTTTGGTAGATTTTGAAGTCTTCAAAATTTTTGAGATCAATCTTTCACAGGAGTTTACAACATGTAATAAATTTTTAAAGAATTGAGAACGAAAATAAATTTTTGTACTGCCACTCTAATAATTATATTATATTTTATATTTTGTATGTTGTACTTTGTATTTTGTATTTGATATTTGATATTTGATGACTTGATACCTGATACCTGACACCTGATACCTGATACTTGATACTTGTTACTGTATACCTAATACTTGATACCTGATATCTGTTACTTGATACCTGATACCCGATACCTGATACTTGATACCTGTTATTTGATACCTATTATTTGATACCTAATAATTGATACTTGATACTTTATATTTTATATTTCATACGCTGTATTTTATATTTTGCGTCTTCTATTTTATATTTTATATCATATTTCACATTACATTTGTGCTATATGTTTTCCTACCAGGAAGTTATTAAACCTCTTTGCCAAAAAGTTGTACTATTCTCTCAGTACAAGACATTTATGCAATTTATTTGTCAACACAATCGACAGTGTTTTCGCTATAAAAATAACTATAATAAGATACAGTTGCATCACACACTCGAAATACATGAAAGTATATAAGGAACACAAACATGCACCTAAACACATAGAAACCGATAATTAAACATCTTAAACGTGATTGGAAAAGTTATATAAAATGAAGGAAAATATATGTATATTAAACAAGATATGATCATTATTACATTCCTTGCGTATAAGCTGGTTTATTGCAACTTTCCAATCCACTTTTGACCATATAATTAATACCTGATTGCTTAGAATATGCGCAACTTCTTTTTTTATGTTAAATGGGGAAGAATGAGAAAAGGAAACGCTATGATCACGCAATTCTAATGTTTGTTGGTTTACGACTGTTTAATTAGTGTGACACCTGTCGAGAACATTGCGTTATGGTAAGATAAATATTTTGCAAGTTAAAAATGTGGTGGGAGGTTTATTTTTATATTTTAGTTAAATGTGCTTCGAAAACGGGTGGGTGGCGCCATCTTGTGAAGAAAGAGAAAAGTAGGAGAACAACATTCGATTTTTCGGAAAAATGATTTTTGTACTTTGTAGAAGAATATTATTTTCTAAACTTAATTTTATAGGAATAATGACATTGCAGATTGTTAAATAAGGTTGGAAGAAAAAATAAAGGAATTATTTCATGAAGCTAATTTTGCTGAATAAATGAATATAATTGAATGAAAGTTAAAAGAGAAAATGAAAGATTGTTTAAATATTAGTCATTCTTTATTTAAACACCGTTTTAATGTTATTTAAAAATTATTGAAATATCATTTAAACATTGTTCAAATATTATTTATCATAGAAACGTTATTAAAAGCTTTCAATTGAAACTTATTGATCTATCAAACAAAAGCTTTTTCGACGCAAGTTTTAATCAAATTAATTAATTCGCTTAAACAACTATTGATTTATAACAAATAAATTGATGAAATACTTCTCCTCCTTCATTTAATCAAAACTTTTAATTCAATGCAGTAACATTAGAACCAATCAATTAACTCTCCGCAAATTTTAATCAACCACCCTCTGGGGGCTCGTTTATCATACAGAAAATTCAACAAAATATCATTTAAACTCTTTTCAAAGCTTTCCTTTATTAATTAACAAATCAAAATTTCCAAAATTCAATACTATCACTTAAAACAAAATAAACAACATTATTTCATAACCTTGGATAAAGGAAAAATAAAAAATCTCTTCACAAAAAAAAACAAGTAACAAAATAGAAAAAATGAAGAAGTACAAATTTAAATATTTAAACATATAATTTTTCTTCTTCTGGAATTGATCACTCTGTTAAAGATTTAATTTTCCATAAAAGAAAAATTAATTTTTTACCGCAATATTTTTCTCGAAATTTATTACAAAATATTTTTTCAAGATTATAATAAACTTCAAACGCTCACTTTGTTTCAGTCTTGCGGGAATATCTACAAAGGTCTTGCCCAAGTGGGAGCATGGGGTTGTTTCGACGAATTCAACCGTATTTCGGTAGAAGTGCTGTCGGTCGTAGCTGTCCAAGTAAAATCAGTGTTGGACGGCATAAAAAGTCGCAAAGCGACGTTCAATTTCTTCGGTGAAGAGCTTAATCTTGTCCCTACCGTTGGTATGTTCATCACCATGAACCCTGGATACGCGGGGAGAACGGAATTGCCGGAGAATTTAAAAACTTTGTTTAGGTAAATCTAAACGTTACATTATTAGACATTATAGTACAACGTTCTAGACATTATTATATATTATTAGACATTATTATACATTGTTAGAGACATCGTCACTACATTCTCATTACATTACTCTTTACCCTGTTATTATCACGCTTCATCTCGTTATTACCATACTTTACCTTGTTATTACCGTGGTGTTGTGTTATTGCCATGTGTAGCATGGTCAAACGTTGTACTAACATATATTATATGCTCAAACCTATCTCACCACGACGAAATTAGATTATTACGTTTGATTATTATCCTAGTCTTATATTCCATGTTATTCTAGGCTGATGTCCTACATTATTAATGTGGGTGGATAATCCACATTATTAGTTTAGGCTGATATTTCACATTATTATCCTAAACTGAAATTCTATATTATTGTCCTACAATCATATTCCACATTTTTACTCTAAAATGATATTCCACATTATTCGTTTAGGGTGATATTTCACATTAGTATCCTAAGCCCATATTCCACATTGCTATCCTAGACTGATACTTCACCTTATTATTCTAGATTGACATTCTACATTATTATCCTAGCCTCATATACTACATTATTATCCTAGACTGAAATTCTATATTATTATCCTACAACCGTATTCCACGTTATTATCCAAAACTCATATTCCACATTGCTATCCTAGAATGATACTTCACCTTATGATTCTAGACTGACTGTCTACATTTATTATTATAAACTGACATTCTACATTATTATCCAAGACTCATATTCTACATTATTGTCTACAGCTCATATTCCACATTATTATCCAAGACTCATACTTCATCTTATTGTTCTAGACGCATACTCTTCATTACTATCCTAGGCTCATATTCCACGTTACTTTCCTAGACTGATACTTCACATCATTATTCCAGATCATTGTCTTATGTTGTTGTCTTAAATCATTGTCCTAGACCATTGTCTCATGTTGTTGTCTTAAATCATTGTCCTAAATCATTGTCTCATGTTGTTGTCTTAAATCATTGTCCTAGATCATTGTCTCATGTTGTTGTCTTAAATCATTGTCCTAAATCATTGTCCTATATTGTTGTCTTAAATCATTGTCCTAGACCATTGTCTCATGTTGTTGTCTTAAATCATTGTCCTAAATCATTGTCTCATGTTGTTGTCTTAAATCATTGTCCTAGATCATTGTCTCATGTTGTTGTGTTAAATCATTGTCATAGATCATTGTCCTATATTGTTGTCTTAAATCATTGTCCTAAATCATTGTCCTATATTGTTATCTTAAATCATTGTCCTAAAACATTGTCTAATCTTGTTATCTTAAATCATTCTCCTAAATCATTATCTAATCATGATCCTTCCAATTCTACATTATAATCTCATGTCCTGTCTATCTTCCATCTACTTCATTTTTACAAAAGTTAGTCTATATCCTCAGCCAAATAACTCTAATCTATCCCTAACAATTCCATAATATCCCCAACAATTAAAGGCCCTGCGCTATGGTGGTCCCAGACTTCGACCTAATTTGCGAGATTATGTTGGTGGCAGAAGGTTTCCAGGAGGCCAGATTACTAGCCAGGAAGTTTATCACGCTTTACCAACTTTGTCGAGAACTTCTGTCGAAGCAAGATCACTATGATTGGGGTCTCAGAGCGATTAAATCGGTGTTGGTCGTTGCTGGAAAACTGAAGAGAGGTGACCCTCACAGACCAGAAGATCAGGTGTTGATGAGAGCTCTTCGAGATTTTAATATCCCGAAAATTGTTACGGACGATGTTCCTGTGTTTATGGGGCTGATAGGTATATTCTTTTATTATACATTTTAGGGAACATGCAATGGTAATCAATTGTAATGGTAATCTAAGCATGTGGTCTCTTGGACAATAATTATAGTGACACTAAAATGTGCGGACAAACATGGTTCTGTTTTCAAAATTTATTGTATGATTTTGTCTATCAAATTGATTGCATGATTTTGTCTATAAAATTGATTACATGGTTTTATCTATAAAATTTACTACATGATTTTGTTTGCAATATTTATTACATGAGTCTGTTTATAAAATTTATTGCTGGTTGTGGCTACAATATTGAATTATTATTCAGATAATAAAAAGAGAAATATACTATTCATTTTTTTAATGAAACGACTGAAGACTGTTGGTAGACAATGGCGTCCATATCATACTCTGTATATGTATAAAATCATCAAACAACTTTTACGTATAACCATATTGATTCGCAAAATTAGTATGCAACTTCTGTATTTGCAAATATAATTATCATACAACATTTGCGTTAATATAATCACGTGTAAGCTGCATAGCAATGCAATCTCGAACCACTTCATTAATCATTCAATTTTGTATTCGATAAATAAGTAAATAATTTTAGTAAACAATGTATCAGGAAAAAGTTGAGTGACATTTTTAAATTACTGAATGACAATTTCATGCGATTAATTTTACATACAAGGGGACATGTAAGGGATATGTGAACATCTTTGTCTCTTAAATGACATACATAAAAGAACATATATAAAAGCACCTGTTACATGCAATAATTTATACATTACTAACATTTTCTTTTATAATAATAATAACCCCCATTCCATTATATCTTTCGTATCACAACGATATTGAAAATTAATGAAAAATCTTATTTGATCAGGTGATCTGTTCCCTGCCTTGGACGTGCCACGAAAGAGAGATCTGGACTTTGAGAAAACTGTTCGAGACTCTGCCGTAGATTTGAAATTGCAGCCAGAAGATGGTTTTGTATTAAAAGTAAAAACATTAAAAAATAAATACCCTGCACTTTGATAGAAATTAGAATATCAATTAAAATTAAATAAAAGGTTGTACAACTGGAAGAATTATTATACGTCCGTCATTCGGTTTTCATCGTTGGTTCCGCTGGAACCGGGAAGACCGAAGTTTGGAAAACACTGAATCGAACATACTTCAATCAGAAATTAAGGCCGTTTTATAACGATTTGAATCCTAAAGCTGTAACAACCGATGAACTCTTCGGTGTCATTAATCCTGCGACTCGAGAATGGAAAGACGGGTTTGAATTTTTCTGAATCATTTTATTTTCTTACGCTTTCATTTTTACTACAATTCTAATTCTAATTTCATTTTCCCTACTTTGCCTAAAATTATTAATTTTGATAATGTATATCTTAGATTGTTCTCCGTGATAATGAGAGATCAAGCGAACATGGCAGGAAATGATCCAAAATGGATCATTTTTGATGGCGACATTGATCCTATGTGGATCGAATCCTTGAACACCGTCATGGACGATAATAAAGTACTAACTCTGGCTAGTAACGAGAGAATCGCATTAACTGATAAGATGAGACTTTTATTTGAAATTTCAAATCTTAGGTAACTTTATTTATCATTTAGTGGTTACAAGAAAGGGACCAAATATGAACTAATAGTAATTTTAGAAAATTAGTAATAATCAAATGAAGACTATGCAGAACTTGGCTCCTTAAATTTTCTCCTTCACTTTTGAAATTTTGGAACTTTGAAATTTTTTCATTTTTCAACTTTGTATCTTTGTAACTTTGAAACTTTGAAATTTTGTATCCTTGGAATTTTGATACTTTGAAATTTTTAAATTTTCAAATTTTATATCCTTGAAACTTTGAGGCTTTGAAATTTTATATCCTTGAAACTTAGAGACTTTGAAATGTTATATCCTTGAAACTTTAGAACATCGAAATTTTAAACCTTCATTGAAGCTTCCATATTTGGCTCTTCTCTACAATTTATAAAAAAAAGTAATAAAACAATTAATTCGCGAAAAAATGTCAACAGAACAGCGACACCAGCTACCGTTTCCAGAGCAGGGATACTTTATCTAAATCCACAAGATATCGGCTGGTATCCGTAAGTAAAAAATGTTAAAATGTTAAATGTTAAAGAAAAATGTTACAAAAGCCTGTTAGATATCTTAAAAATGTAATACAAATTTTTAGATTCGCTATCAGTTGGATAGAAACAAGAGAGGGACCTGAAAGAGCAAACTTGACGATCCTCTTTGATAAATACGTCCCAACACTTGTGGATATAATGAAAGCTAAATTTAAGAAAATCACACCGATACCAGATATCTGTCACATCGAGATGCTGTGCAAATTATTGGACTATTTTTTGACCAAAGAGAATGTGCCTCCGGAGTGTCCGAAAGAATGGTACAAAAAAAAAAACGTTTTAGAGGAGGTTGTATGTAGAGTTGTGAGGATTGTTAACAATTCAAGCTTGGATTTCATTATAAAGATATTTTATATTGCCTCGATTTCTCATTTACTCAACTTCTTAATTTCTCAATTTAGTAATTTCCCATTTCTCAATTTCTAAATTTCCCAATTTTCCAATTCCCTCATTCCCCAATTTTCCCATTTCCAAATTTTCCCATGCTCTAATTTCCCTATTTTCCCAAGTTCTTCAATCCCCTATTTTCCCATTTCACCTATTTTCCAATTTTCCATTTCCCAAATTCCAACCTTCAAATTCCCAAATCTTCAAATTCCCAAACCTTCAAATTCCCAATCCTTAAAATTCTCAAACCTTCAAATTCCCAAATCTTCAAATTCTCATACCTTCAAATTCCCAAACCTTCGAATTCCCAAACCTTCGAATTCCCAAACTTTCAAATTCCCAAACCTTCAAATTCCCAAACTTTCAAATTCCCAAATCTTCAAATTCCCAAACCTTCAAATTCCCAATCCTTAAAATTCTCAAACCTTCAAATTCCCAAACCATCAAATTCCCAAACCTTCAAATTTCCAAACCTTCAAATTCCCAAACTTTCAAATTCCCAAATCTCCAAATTCCCAAATCCCCATTTCCCAAATCCCGATTTCCCAAATCCCAATTTCCCAAATCCCAATTTCTCAAATCCCAATTTCCCAAATCCCAATTTCCCGAATCCCAATTTCCCAAATCCCACTTTCCCAAATCCCAATTTCCCAAATCCCACTTTCCCAAATCCCACTTTCCCAAATCCCAGTTTCCCAAATCCCAATTTCCCAAATCCCAATTTCCCAAATCCCAATTTCCTAAATCCCACTATTCCCAATCCCATTTCTCCCAATCCCAATCGCCCAATGTCTATAATCTAAAAATACATGTACCTAAAACTTCTACAAACTTTTCAAACATAAAACACTGAAAGCTTGAAAATTTACAAATTTAATATATTTAATTTAAATCTCTACTACCCACAGCTCCTCAGATATACGCAACATCGATGATAATTTTACCGTGACTTTTTCTTTTCATCCTGCAGGTATGAATTATACTTCGCATTCTCTTGCATTTGGGCATTCGGATCAGCAACTTTTAAAGATCAATTGGTCGACTGGCGAAACGAGTTCAGTAAGTGGTGGGTGAATGAATTTAAAACGGTGAAATTTCCACCTGGCAACGTGTTTAATTACTACATCGAAAATGAAACTAAAAAGTTAATTCCTTGGACCGAACACGTGAAGGTCTTCGAGCTCGATACTGACATACCTCTTCAGGTTCGATTAATTTTTCGTTTATTCAAATTTCATCAATTTTGAATATCATGATTTGTTATATATATTTTCTTTATTGATATGAAGAATAATATTTGATATATTTCTTCAATTTTTATACAGAACTTTCATTTCTTAGATATGATTTTTAATTCATAAGTAGATATGATTTTTAATTTGATATGATTTAATTAGATATGATATTTTTAATTAGACATGATTAAAGGATTTTCAACATTTAGAAATGATTTTCTGTTCTTGTAAATAACCTTTAATTTTCATAAGTGACTTTCTGTTTTTATGAGTATTTTTGCAGTTCTCATAAATGATCTTCTGTTCCTATAAATAATCATAAAGTTTCTTATAATTATAAATCTTATAAATGATTTTTAATTGTTATAAATATTGTCCTGTTTCATTAATCATTCTCTACTTTTATGAGTACGTTACAATGTCTACAAATGATTTTCAATTTTTGTAAATCATTTTCAATTTTTATGAACATTGTCCAGTTTTCATGAAAAATTTTCAATTTTCCTAAATATTTTCCTATTTTTATAAATGTTGTCCAGTTTTCATTGAACATTTTGATTATTTCAATTAACAATTTTCATAAATGATTTTCTATTTATATTAATAATTTTCAATGTTTATCAATGATGTTCAGTTCTTATAAATGTTATTCAGTCCTTATAAATGATGTTCAGTTTTTATAAATGTTATTCAGTTGTAATAAATGATATCCAGTTTTTATAAACGTTATTCAGTTATAATAAATGATATCCAGTTTTTATAAATGTTATTCAGTTATAATAAATGATATTCACTTTTTATAAATGTTATTCAGTTGTAATAAATGATATTCAGTTTCTATAAATGTTTTCCAATTTCCATAAATGATTTCTCTTCACAGTCCACTTTAGTGCCAACCGGTGACACAACATGTCTTCACTTTTTCCTGGATGTTTTCATCAAGGAAAGAGTGCCACTGATGTTAATAGGTGCCGCGGGTTCTGGGAAAAGCGTCATCGTCGCCGAAAAATTGTCGTCTCTTCCGGATGATTATAACATCGCCAGTGTACCTCTTAACTATTACACTACGTCTGGTAATAAACATTTAATTCGCCTTATAATTAATCCTATAGGATTAATAGGAGAGAGTCGTACATCGACCAAAGCTAGCTTTCACTTATGACATTAGTTGAATGTATTTTATAAACGAGTGAAATTTTTCATACTGATATAGTGTCATTTGGTTGTTTGTCTATTATCAAATATTAAAACTTAAAAATTTTTAAATATTAAAATTAAGAATTTTTAAAGACTTAAACTTGAGACTTTTCTAATATTTACATCTACAAATTTTTAAACAAACTTGAGAATTTTCTAATATTCAAATTTACAAGTTTTCAAACACTCAAACTTGAGAATTTTCTAATATTCAAATCTACAAATTTTCAAATACGCAAACTTGAGAATCTTGAAATATTCAAACTTGAGAATTTTCAAACACTCAAACTTGGGAATCTACAAATATTCAAATCCAAAAATTTTCAAACACTCAAACTTCAGAGTTTTCAAATACTCAAATCTACAAATTTTCAAACAATCAAACTTGAGAATTTTCAAATATTCAAACTTGAGAATTTTCAAATATTCAAACTTGAGAATTTTCAAACACTCAAACTTAGGAATCTACAAATATTTAAATCCAAAAATTTTCAAACACTCAAACTTCAGAGTTTTCAAATACTCAAATCTACAAATTTTCAAACAATCAAACTTGAGAATTTTCAAATATTCAAACTTGAGAATTTTCAAACACTCAAACTTGGGAATCTACAAATATTTAAATCCAAAAATTTTCAAACACTCAAGCTTAAGAATTATCAAACATTCAAATCTGAAAATCTGGAAAATAAGAATTTTGGAAATTTTAAATTTGATAATTTGGGATGTGAGAATTTGAAAAATTGAGTTCTATTTAAGAAATATTAATCTGTTTAAGAAATGTTGCAAAGAATCCTGGAGAAACACTTGGAGAAAAAGACTGGTAGAAATTACGGTCCACCCGGTTTGAAAAAGTTGATTTACTTCATTGACGATATGAATATGCCCGAAGTAGATACATACGGAACTGTTCAGCCTCATACGCTAATCAGACAGCACATCGATTATGGTCATTGGTATATTACCGTTTTTTCAAAACATCACTAACATAACTAACTTCTTAAACTTCCACACAATGTTTTCACTTTCAAAAATTTGTTCCTTAATAAATATAATATATATATATTTTTTACTATAAATAGTATAATTTATACTTCAAGTACAAAAGATTAAAACGTGTTTCAAACAACAAATTTAATTATTTAAGAAAACAATAATATATGTATACAGGTACGACAGACTGAAATTAAGCTTGAAAGAAATCCACAACACTCAATACGTTTCCTGTATGAATCCAACTGCTGGTAGTTTCACGATCGATCCCCGTTTACAAAGGCACTTCGCCGTTTTCGCGGTTAAGTAAGTCAAATATTTAAGTACTCGTGTTAATACTCGAGTAAATTATCAAGAGTTAATACTTGAACTACTTCTTTTATCGTAGCTTTCCGACAGACGAGAACTTGGTGATGATCTACAGTCAAATGTTGGATCAGCATCTGACAAATCCTTTGAACAAGTTTAATTTAACGCTAACGAAAGTAGCGGATGAATTATTGAGCGCGGCACTTTACTGTCACGAAAAAATCTCAACCACGTTTTTACCGACTGCGATCAAGTTTCATTACGTATTTAATTTACGAGATCTTTCGAATATCTTTCAGGTATGTATAGAAAATTATTAAGATTAATCTCTTGGACACGGCTGAACTTTACGCTGCTTCTTTGTACAGCACAGCTCTAATTACAAATAGCAATGTGTGACAATGCTGTTCTCAAAGCGAGTACATTGGAAGAAGTTTCTGATGATTAAATTTTTTCCTAAAGATACAATATACTTTAACTTTGATAATTTGCTTTTTTCGAAAATTCACAAAATATGTAATTTCCAAATGTTACAATATCGTGTATTAGTGCAAAGAGGTGCTCCCATGGTGCCTAAACTTGGCGTTACTTTTTATTTACATGTAATGTAGTTTTGTGGGAGTTGTTAATACTCTTATAAAATATGGTGAAGGCAAAAAAGTACGAATCAAAACATATGAAAAGGATCGTTCAATTGAAACGGTGAGCGAGTGAGCCAGTTGAGTGAGCCACTATAGTGGCGCTATGTAATCTACGACATTCGCGAAAGCCACTATAGTGGACCGTCGTACAGAAATGGTATCCGCGAAAGCCACTATAGTGACGCGCCTAAGAGATTAATGATGATCATTTTAATTCTAAAGGCTGTGCAACACCTATTTGCACTTGACATTATTTATAACATATAATATAATGAGTCCTTTTTTTAATTCTTTCTTTTCCTGAATAAATTCACCCTCACTAATATTAGCTACGAGTCGCCGAGTCTATTGTAATTGGTCTAGAATTAAGAAATTTTCTTTTTATATATGTTTGTTAGTAATTATAGACTAACTAATAAGAAAACGAGAAAGTATGAAATAGTTATAAAATGGTTATATTAATGTGTTTAGGGTATTTTGTTCGCTAATGGAGAGACTGTACCAACTCCTAATCATTTGATAAGATTGTATGTTCATGAAGCATCGAGGGTGTATTCTGATAAATTAGTCACTCATGAAGACGCGAAAACGTTTGACGCGTTGTTAAAGGAGTCTCTTCGTAAAAATATTGCTGTAAGGTTTTTTTAATATTACATAGAATCCTTTACAATAAGAAAGTTTAGTCAATTACTTATTTGCATGATTAATCGTAGGACATAGATGAAAATATCATATTCGCAGAACCGATAATATATTGCCATTTTGCTGAGGGAATCGGAGAACCTAAGTACATGCCTATACAAGACTGGCAACGATTAACCGCCTTACTGGACGAAGCTTTGCTTAATTACAATGAACTGGTAGTTATACAAATCAAGAATATTAAAAATTTCATTGCAGTCACTCATTCAATTCAATTTAATTCCATTAATTATTCAAACAATTAATATGAAGAATTAAAAGGGTACCCATAAAATCGTCATTAAAATTATCCCGTACGTCGAAACAGGTGTCTGCGATGAATTTAGTGTTATTCGACGACGCCATGTACAGCGTTTGCCAAATAAATCGAATTTTAGAATCACCCAGAGGAAATGCGCTCCTGGTAGGAGTCGGAGGCAGCGGAAAACAATCACTTTCTGCTCTGGCATCTTTTATTTCGAGTCTGGAGGTACTTTTGTGTACTCTTTAACGCTAGAACTACTAATTAGAATCACTAGTTTCAAGCTTTACATTTTATGTTAATTTTTATCCACCTGACAAATCATAAGACGAAAGGGTGATAACCAAAACTAGTTACACAGAATAACGTTTACTATTCGGACAGGTCTTTCAGATACAGTTGCGTACAGGATACTCAATGGAAGATCTGAGAACCGATCTGGCAGGTTTATACCTGAAGTCGGGCTTGAAAAGCATTGGAATGACTTTCGTGATGACCGATTCTCACGTTGCAGACGAAAGATTCTTGGTCGTCATAAACGATATGCTTGCGTTCGGTGAAATTTCCGAATTATTTGCAGATGAAGAGATCGATAACATCGTAAACGGAGTGAGAAACGAGGTGAATTATTTAATTGCTACGTCACTAATACGTGGACGACACCTAAATCTTCATACGAATCTACCACTTACTTGGCCATCGAATTAGGACCACTATTTTCAGCATTTTTCACGTTTTCCGTAAAATTAAAAGGCTTGTTAATGATATAATTTATTAGCTACCACGATACACTACTACTGTACATAACATTATTAACACACGTTAATATCTTGTATTTCCACCCTTTGCTTTGGTCACAGCTTCCGGTATGCTCTGTATACATCACACGCTTCATATCTTCATTATTTTCCCAAATATCTGTAATTCTTTTCAACTCGGATAATGTGGTTGGAGAGTTGTAAACTAGTCTTTTGAGTAGGCAGACATTTTCTATGGCATTCAAATTTCACCT